GTGTGTGTAGGTGTGTGTGTGTGTGTGACCGCCTCCAACACACACACACACATATTCCTACAGCCCCTCTCCTCCATCCACAGCGCCCTCCTCCTCCCTCCTCCTGCCCTCCGTCAGGGCAACGTGTCTGACCTTTGTGCCGACGTTGAACTGTTAAAAAAAAAAAAAAAAAAAGGCTCATTGTAACGTAGCTACCTGTCGACATGTACAATTTGTCTTCATCGGCGCCTGTTCGGCATCATTTTCATATCATATGCCTTGCAAATTACGCTCAGCTGCCGGTGGCTCACCTTGCTCGACAACTTTGGGGGATGAAGCGCACTGAGGGGAGCTGGGGGAGGGGCAGTTTAGGGTTCAGATTAAATTTGTTACAGCAAAAATGACAGGCCAGACACAAACATTGATGTAATGTGTTAAACACATGTGATGTTCGCCCACAGAGGGAGTCAGAGGAGCAGGACAGTTTGTGGAGGAGGTCCAGACTGATGTAGCTGCTAAAACACATCATTATTTTATTTGACTGACCTTTCTAATTATGTCATTGAGGTGTTTTAATAAGGTGGCAATCTAACTAAGCATAGATTTTAAAAGAAAGAAATGTGTTGTAAAATGGTCAGAAAACGAGCTCTAATTCGTCACCTGACATTCAAAGCTGCTCCAGACAACATCCACAAAGACAGCAGGCCAGCCACAGGCCTTGTTGTTCTCTGTGTGTCCACCAGCAGGACCACACAAACCACCCAGGATGGTTTCACTGAACGCAGTGCAGAGGTACAGCACAGGCAGAACCAAATGCACTTGATCCACTTTAGTTCAATCTGTGAGGCCGGACGTCTTCCTCGGTGCAGGACTGGGCTCTCTTCCTGTCCCTTATGGAACATACATGTATTTGTGCCAACTGAAGTTCTGTAAGTTAAAGGGCCAATTCTTAGTTTGACTTATTATGTCTTCTGTAGCTAAAGCTGCTTTGTCAAAACTTAAAAGTTAACCTTCTTGTGATCTGGTCGAGCTTCGGCTGTGTTGAATGAGGCTTGATACAGACAGTCAAGGCATTTACCTTGAAAAATAACAGTATTTAACACGCAAGAGAGATAAAATGGGGAAAAAATCCATCAGGCTGCATCTGGGAATGCAGGACCAAACATCTCAACCTCTGCGGCTTCAATTTAGACAATTCTTAGAAAAATGTCTCATGCAAGTCACACAATGTTTTAGAAGCACAATGCAATGAACTAAAGTGAAGTTTAAAATCAAAACTAAACATGTTCTTTTTTGCCAGCAAATATGACATTTATTCCATGTGAGACGTGTACAGGTGATCTGCACCAGGTGCTTAAATAATGAACTATTAAAAAGGCGTCTCGTGTTTTTGATGCACAAGACGATTTATTGCATTCATCAGCAATCAATAGTTTATTTGTACTCAAGCAGTATCTCTATTTCATTTACCAGAATCTAAGCCGATGAAACGTCCTGACTCTTAATGAGACATTCAGCCTAGCTCGGCTCTAGTTAACGGGTCTCAGGAGAACTTCAGGACAAAATACAAAAACTGGAGCATTTGTGAAACTCTGGACTCACATCAACAATATGTATGCCTTTATTTTACTAATTCTAGCTGAAAACTCAAATTCTGTTCTGGTCACTTTGAGGTGGGAGCTGTCGAGTTCTTTTCATTCACATGTCGGTACATTTACTAATTAGCTAAATACATATACTACCTGAGCTCAGTGTAAGCCATGTGGTCTGTGCTATTAGCTCACTGTTCACAGGCTCATCAGTCTCTGGTTCAGTTACTCTTATAACTATTTGTCTTTCTTGCTAAATAGCACAGCAGTGGAGGTAATCCTGCATAATTCCAGATCTGACTGTATTATAAATACGTTGATTATTAGATTTAGGTTGAACCAAATGCGAACTGTTTAAAAAATGTAGAAAACATTCAACACTTGACCGTGTGTGTCTCCACAGCAGATGCCAGTAAACGAACACGTATGAAGCAGATTAATGACATCAGGCTTGAAACCGGAAAATACTGATTAGAAACATGAAGTTTATTAAGGATTTCACCCTGCATTACAAAACAGATACTGGATCTCACTTCTTAGTCATAAAAAGACAATAAACCTGAATAAGGTCACCCCGAGAAAAGAAATCAAACATTTGTCAGTTCAATCATGAACAAAAGCACTCAGACATGAAGCTGCTTCGCTGCATGTTGTAGCTGCAGCTCAGCAGCAGCTCACACGACTCAGCCCGTCACAAACGGGCTTTCTTCTTGGATAAAAAACGCTGGTTACAGCCATCAGTATGTGTCTGATCCTAGGAAGACTGATGGTTAATATCCTCTGTGTGCTGGACAGTACCCTGAATTTAAACCTAAACTATACAACTACTAAACACGAGCGTCCACACCAGCCTAACTGGTGCTATAAAGGCTGTTCTAGGATTTCAGCAATTACACCAAACACAGGAGTAGCAGGTTTCTAACAGAGGAGAGCTTCACCTTAATGGGAAACAGTAGATTTTTGTTGAAGGAATGACTCCTAATAATCCTCAGTGGACGCCGAGTCACAATTATTGCTTAAAAAACGAACTACACCAGGTGATCCACCATCTAGATTTGCAATTAGACGCCAGGTCAAGTTGTGCAGTTTAATACGAGGAAGGAATCAGAATGACATGAAAATCAACTTGTCAATAGGAAGGAATCAAAAATAGGTTTCAAGCAGCTTCATAATCGGACAGACTCAAGAACACGTTGACATCTGGTCAGCAGCAGAGTGTCCCGTTCCCCACACCTGCCAAAGATCCTTTACACATGTTAACAGACTGAGTGGTTGTGTAGGAGCAGGTCAGACTTTCATGTGCTGCACACACGTCCACCATGTGATCGTCTCTTAACTGTCTGACTGGAAAATACTGGAGAGTTCCTCATCGGAGTTGTAGTTTTAAATCTGAAATGAATAATGCCCTCCAGAGCTCCTACTGGCCACCCTGGGCCACCCTCTTGGCATACGCATCCCAGCCCGACTTCCTGTATGACTCAGCCGCCTCCAGCCTATCAGAGGCCTCCAAGACGCCTCGTCCCACGATGATGACATCAGAGCCTTTGTTGTAGATGACCTCTTCTGGGGTGGAGTACTGCTGGCCCAGCGGGTCTCCTGTAGAGGGAGGGAGGGAGACAGCTGAGTGCTTTAATGGACCAACAATGGTTTCCTGTCCAACAGCACCACCCTGTGTCTAACATGAGTCATGACATCACGGAGAGCAGCGTGAAAAACGACCAGGTTTATGTCACGTGTGGCCCTTTATAGAAGAGCACATGTTTATTTAGACGTGGATATGTTGATTGTAACGGCTCTTATTTCACCAGACTAGACACCATATGAGCCTGTTTATTGTGGACTTTCTTGCTGTGCAGCATGTGGCCCGTCTAGTTAGGACTCAGGACACCAGGAGGTCCATCACATGTGTGTGTTCATGTCTGTATGACACATTCCCTTGAAAGTGTGTGATTCAGTTTGCATTTAAACATATTTAGGTGCATGAAAATCTAAATTCGTGAATATAAATTACAACAAAGAAATGACAAATAAAAGCCATCAGAGTTACCTCCGGCCTGCAGTTGCACCCCAGGAGTCATGTGGAGGAACTCTGGCCTCTTGGTGATCTTTGAGCCACAGATGAATCCCATCACAAAGTCGGGGTGCTCCTCTGCCATCTGCAGCTGTAATGACACCCAACAGAAGCACACGGCTGTGAACCGGGCGGCTCAGAAGATGGACCACACATCGGAGCAGACACTGGAGACGTGCTCACCACAGCCTTGGTGTATTCACCCGTTGCCAGCGAGCCCTGGGAGCTCATCTGTGCTATGAGCAAGCAGCCTCGGCCCAGAGGCTTCCCTACAGCGCTCAGACCCTTCAGGACGCCGGGCCCCGGCACCGCGTGGGCGTTCACTATGTGAGACCAGGACGAGATCCGATACAGACCGCCTAGAGGACAGACACACGAGCACAACGTTAGGCTGCTGGAAATACTAACCAGACGGGGCTTAAAGTCATTCTGGACATAGTTTATGTGCAAATTTAGAAGCTCCATCATCAGTAATGTGTTAGATCTTCTCACCTTCATACTGATGCTTGACCGTGTTCCCGATATCAGCAAACTTTCGATCTTCAAAGATGAGGAAGTTGTGTTTCTCAGCCAAACCCTGCAGTTCCTGGCTGAAGGCCGCCGTGTAGTCCTGTCACACAAACCAGAACATCAGTTTATCTGTCCTGACAAGGTTCTCCATGCAACAGATCAGTTCCCTCCTGTACCTTCAGGATGTCCACGTGGGTCTTCAGCATGCAGATCTTTGGACCGAGAGACTCGGCCAGCTGGAGCAGCTCCTGGCTGCTGGTCACGTCAGCCGACACGCAGAGGTTCGACTGCTTCTCCTCCATGATGTTGAGCAGCTTCGATGTGAGAGGGTGAACGTCTGCATACAAACAAGATGTAGGGTGTGATTCTACGTTTACACACGAGTGGACAAACTGAGTGAGCTGCAGGACCACACACTCTGTAGCTTGGCTCTGGCTCCATAGCTCAGCTCCACACATGTCCTCTTGGTGGCAGGAGCTTCATTACCGTTCTCCTCTTTGGGGCTAAAAGAGGCCAGATAAGGATGAAGATGTTACTTTGGGATTGTTCTATGCATCAAAGACACACACTAGCTTCAAGTACAACACGAGAAACCCAGCAGCTGTACCTGAAAGTGTTGTTGTCCAGGATGAACTTGCGGACGCTCTGGGCGGTTTGGGCGTCGATGCGCTCGGCTTTCATCAGCACGTTGAGCAGCGTGAACATGGAGATGATGGGATGGAGCTTGATTCCCCGAGAGGCCAACATCTCTACTCCGCCTTGCTCTCTGTCCATCAGCACGATGGCGTCCGTCACCTTCAGGACACAGACAACGACTTCCTAAGAACCTGCTGCTTTGAGGGGATCCCTGTATACTGGGGAGCATCGTCGCTACACCACAGGCTGCTGCAAGCCTCACAGTGAGCACAAGAGCACCAGTGTCATCACCTTCAGTCCCTCCTTGTAGAGAACCTCAGCGGTCTCCAGGATGCTGCTGCCGCTGGTCACTGTGTCCTCGATGATCAGACACGTGTCCCCCTGGCGAAACGATCCCTCCACCAAGCGCTTGGTTCCTACAGCAGGGTCACACAGGGAAGGTCATCAGTCACCACTACAGCTGACACACAACCAGGCCTCAGTATCACCCAACAGTATGTCCAACATGTCAACCCACAGAGAGCAGCGCAGCAGGATACGAGTCTAACTTCAGCTGATCTGCTTCAGGTGTAGCTTGACTTAGATGCATCCATCTCCACACCCATTAGTCTCATTTGAATAACTCATAACTCTGCCATTGCCTGGATATATTAATATCATCACACAGAAACATTCAGCAGATTGACCTCCTGTACCTACATCTATCCAGGCACCAAGCACACATTCTCCCAGTTTCTAAATCATACAGCATCCACCATGTTGAAGTCTATTCTAGTCTCATTCAGAGAAACTGTTCAGGGCCTTGAATGCTGTTTTCTTGGCGTTTGCTATGTGTGTTCTCCAAACGCTGGATAAACTGAACCTCACCGTAGTCCTTGGCCTCCTTCCGCCTGATGAGCATGGGCAGCTCATTTCTGGAGCAGATGATTGTGGCCAAAGGCAGAGCTGTGTAGGGAACCCCGCACACCGAGTCAAACTGCAGCCCCTCGTCCTGCACTCGCTGGTAGATGAGACTGGACACCTGTGAGGACAAGAAGGTCAAACGGTCTGCTGTGACGATATGGTGAGGACCTTAGAGAGGCATTCTGTAGGAGATGAAGCTGCAATAACTTGTTAGCAGTTCTTTTACTGCCGTGTTGTGCTCCTGTCAGACGGCTGATTCCTGGTGGAACCTTTAAATGGCTTCAGGTCGACCTCACATGAACAACAACCAGCTTCACCGTATCTCAGGTGACTGGAACAGAAGCAGCGTTACCTCAGAGGGGCTTGTAGGGATTGTAGCTGACACCGTGTTGACTCAGTAATCATGACTAAGACTTGAGTAAATGGGTGGGCAGCCCTTTAGACCCATCTTATCTCCAGCAGATCAATAGCTGCCATTTTAACTGATTTTTATAAATCAGTTGCTTCAGTGCAGCTTCACAGCTGCTGCTGCCCCCCTTCAGGAGGAAGACTCTCTCTGGGTCTGATGAGCCTCTGAAGCTAAGACTTTTAGTTTTTTAAATCACTTCTAACTTTCTTTCAGTGATCATTTTACATGAGTTCCAAACACAGCTGATGTTTTTAACTCGTATGTACTGAAAGTTTGTCACACAACTTTAAAATCGTACTTTTTAAATTTCCGTTATCTATACAGGTAGAAACAAAGGGTCTCATGCAAAAGAGAGACCTGAGGGCTGCACTACGAAGCAAGTTGGACATAGCTGGGCTTTCTTTGTGTAAGCTGGCTCAACAAAACCAAAAGCCCCAGCCAGAGATAATGGGTATGACAAAGGTGGTTCAGCTTTCTTTGTCAACTCAGACGCTCTGCTTCACATAAAAAGGGCATTTAATCCCCAGACCAGGTTAGCTCCACAGCATCAGTTACCATGGAGACCTAGCTC